GCCTGAGCGGCTCTCTCCCTCTCATCTTCGGCAGCTTGCGATTTTTCCCTTCCGCCAGCGCCTCCGCCGCTTTTCGACTTCGGGCCCATCTCCAGCCGCCCTAGCTTGCAGCGTCTCGATTTTGAAGACGGTGTTGTATTTATGCGAGGAAAAGGAAATTAACAACGCAGCTTTACAGGGTAAAAAGGTCGGGAATGGGCAAGGAAAGATCTAAAGAATATGCAGTCTTGCTCCATCAAAGACTATACCCCGATCCAATTTCCCTGCCGGCGTTGTGCCTGATTCGTGACTCGTTGGTCGTCTCTTTTTGGATCGTGGAATTTTTTGATGCCTGATGAGGCCTCAATTCTCCCAGCCACAAGAGAGGGGCGTGCTTCAGGCACCGCCGCATTAGTCATCGCTTGCATAAGCCAGCAAAATAGTTAACTAACTAACTAGTTAACTAGTTAGTTAAACTATCAATGTCCTTCCTGAGGCCATTCTAGGCCTTTACCGGGGCCGCACCAGACGAAGATCTCCAAAAGATCCAGATTCCCATAGAACAGCCGTCAACCAAGGGACAGGGACAGGGACGAGGTGCGGGATGGGACTTACGCACGGAGCACAGAAGCACCGTGCGATAATCGCAAAAGAAATAACATAAACAGCTGAAGAAGAGGATGTTGCTGGACCAAGGAACTACGACTCAAGATCCCCAGCTATTCGACTGTCCGGGCAATCGGTCCAGACCATCCCCAAGACGAAACGGTCCTTTTGACTTTTGCGGTTGACTAGTTAAGGAACTTACGGAGTGCAGTGCGTAGCTAGCTAGCTAGGCTAGCTAGCTAGCTTAACAACCCCTAAACAAAACCTTCTGAAATCACCTTGGCCATGCATATGCATTGCACTCTGCTACCCAAGCTCCAGTTGAAGCGGTTTTTTGAAAGGCGCTGGGATTTTCCCGCAGGGATCAGCCTCATGGGAAGAAGAAAAGAAAAATCGGTCCGGGCCTGGGCTTTTCTTTCCCCCCTTCTCTTTTTCTTGCTGTTTCCTATGCAGCTAGGGGGGTGTTTGTTTTTTTTGGCCTATTTGCATTCTAACTGCGTTGACTCGTAATGTTATCATTATCGATATCTTCCGGAGACACCCGTTGTTTCCAACCCAGAATTGACGTTAAATCTTATTTCATTTCATTGTTCGTCCCATCTCATCCCAATCCGTGTATTTAGTAATGATGAAGATGATATTATATAAGGGGGAACAAATGGGGAGATTTGCCGCCAATGAAAGCCAGAGGGACCAACAAGGGAGAGAGAGCGCAAAGAAATAGATTAATGGCGCTTTTCGTGTTGTCTTACTCTCCGTTCCAACTCTCACCTGCCTTCCTACCTTCTTTTCTGTATTGTACTGCCGAATATACGGATATGAATGGATGGAGGATTAGATAGACGGCCGTGTGCACGATGTAGGACATCAACGCATCCATATATATCTCTGTGTGTATGCATATACTTCCGTTTCCGAAATGGAAAAAAAAATAAAAAACAAAAAAAACAAAACAAAACAAAAAACCTCATACACACGGGTTTTCCGTCATCCCCCGTCCCCGTCCCCGTCCCAGGCTTTCCCCACTGGCGCTCCGGTTTCCCGCGCGCGTCGATCCAAAGCTATTTCCCCTATAGGAACAACAGAAAACCGACCTTGCGATTCAGATCCATATCATATATCCGCCCATCCAAGGACATGCATGTACCACATGAAAGAAACCAATTTGATATATCCAAATATCACGAACAGAGAAACGACCCCAGCTGCGGGAAAAGGGTATCGGTAGGTAGTATAATGGTGAGGACAATGATGAGTTTGTAGTGGCTGTGGCTGTTGGTTGTGGTCGTGGATTGAAGATGACGAGATTTCCGCCTCATAAGTACATTTCCGATTTAAGACAACAAAATAAATGGAATAAGAAATACCAATAGACTATGTTTTCCCCCAAGTGACACAAATGAGCAAGAGAAAAGGAAAATGAAAATAGAAATCCCAGATTGGTTCATCCATAAAACGCCGATAAGTGTGTCTTTTGATTTGGTGTGCCCTGCGAGCAAAAGAGAGAAATCGGGGGAGAGACAAGAGATGGCTAACTCAAGTCATGCGTGTGGAGTATTTAGAGGGATAAGGGAAGTGAGGTGAGTTTTTAAAACAGCAAATCAAATATAACGACATGAAGTTTCGCTTTGTCCGGGGCCGTGGGAACCCCAGGTGGTGGGATGGTGGTAAATAACATTATCGATTTGTGTGCCAGCAAGATACGGTAAAGATAAAAATAGCCTTCGTACGAACATGACAATGGTAATGTGTAAATGACGAGGAAGATGGTTTCAGCAGGTTTCAACCAGAACAAGTGAAAGAAAATGAATACTTTATACCCATTAGACACACAATACACTGTATCCTCATATACTTATATATATATATATATGTGTGTGTGTGTGTGTGTGTGTGTGTGTGTGTGTGTTTGTGCGTGGTAAAACTGGAGAAGAAGGGTGCTGGCTTCCCCCAAAAACCTTTTTAATAGGCCAAAAAGAACAATAGAAAGTCAAAGGAGGAGCGCGATAGGGGGATGAGAAGAGGAGCCATGGCTTAAGAAGAAGTACATGGCGACATTGTTAACAGGAAACGACACGGATTCGACACGATATGATACGACCGATGCCGGAAGCGTAACAGTATATATAAACGGAATCTTTAGGTTATGCGATTCGTTGCA